CTATCTATCTATCTATCTATCTATCTATCTATCTATCTATCTATCTATCTATCTATCTATCTATCTATCTATCTATCTATCTATCTATCTATCTATATGTTATGACTGTGTAGTGTCAGTCTTGACCACCATCTGTTTACTAGAGGCAACCAATCAGAGAAAGGTTAGTTGAAAGTTTGTTTTGTCATGTGAATTGAGGGTCTTCAGGAAGGCCTGGTATAATGATTTTGAACTTCAAAAGCTACTCTAGTACAAATGAGCATAAAAAGCATAGTTTAAAACGGAGACAGGAAACATAAAAGTAATTCAGGGAGGTTCTGATCACTCCCACACTGTAGATTCTGCTCACATCCTAACATGTATTGCAGTAATAAGCATCATTTATTGGTCATTTCAAGGTTTGTGAAGGAGGTGAGTAACAGCTGACTGGGCAACAGTCACTTCTGTTTACTGCAAGTTATAAACTGTGGTTTTTGCCCTTTTAACATGCTCTTTACTGGATGTTTTCTTTCAGGAGTGCTATGGTGGCACAGCAGCAAAATAAAGGAGATCCTGATGTAACAAAAAAGATGGAGAAGGTGAAAGGAATGAAGCACTTTCCTCCATATGGTAGCATGGATGAAAACACAACAGGGGACAACTGCCCCACATGCCGTGGCACTGGCCGAATCCCCAGAGGTTGGCCTTTTTTTGTGAAGAAAACTCTGCTTTTATCTGTCTTTACTGTCAATTTTCCACTGTTTTAACTGGAGTTTTAAGGCTTTGACATCATTGTCTGCTGAATGCTTCCCATGCATGACAAAAACTAGAGGAACCAGTCGTGAAAAAATGACACGGTGTTTACTTCTTCTTCTCCAAATTACTTTCATTTCACATTTAATAGCAAGTTGACTGAAGGAGTCTTAAAAACATGGCTATGTGCTGGTGTCAGCTAAGATACTTTCACATCATTTCTGTGGTAAGAACAAAACCTTTATTTCCATCTTGTACTGGCAGGACAAGAAGACCAGCTCGTTGCCGTCATACCGTGTAATGATGTAAGGCTGAAACCCAGACGCACGTAAGGAGTATAGCAGTACATGAATGTGTGTGTGTGAGGGGTGCTTTTACAGTTTTGAACAAGCGAGTTAGAAATATTTTTGTGTTTATGGTTTGCACTGTTGCTCTATTTAAAATGTAATTTTGCATATCCCTGTTTCAGGAAGCTGCATGTCTGCATCTCCATGGGCCTGTGTCTCCTTATTTGCTGTCTGATCCTCTTTTTCCTCTTCCCACGGAGTGTCACCCTCACCCCAGTGTCTGTACAATCAGTCACAGTATACTTCATCCCAGATGAAGTTAAAATGGACGTCACAGTAAGTAATTTGAAAATCACTCTGCTCATCAGTAGTTTTGGTGTTACAGTAACCAAAA